GTTAACCCATCACCAAGTCCTATCTACCTTTTGACTTCCTATGTCTCAGTTGAATCCATTTGCTTTTCTCTGTCTCCACCAATAACACAATAACATTATAGTGTAAGCCATCATGTCTTGCTGGAACTATTAAAAGAGGCCCCTAATTAGGCTACCCCACGTCCACCCTGGTTCCCTTCCAATATCCTATTTATTTTTATTATTGAGATGTAATTCACATACCATACAATTCACTTCTTTAAAGTGTACAATTCAGTGGCTTTTAATATATTCATAGACTTGTACAACCATCATCACAGGCAATTTTAAATCATTTTTCATCACCTCCCAAAAAACCTGGTACTCTTTAGCCATTACCACTCCCCCATCTTTCCATCCCCTCTTCCATTATGATTTTTACATATTACCAGAATGATCATTTCACAGTGTGAATTTTTGTCTGATCACATTTAGAAGCTTGCAGTGCTTTCTTATTGTTAAGATAAAGAGCAAAATCTTTATTATGGCCTGTGAGGCCATGTAACTCCTGGCCTTTCCAGCCTCTTTTTTACCATGCATCCCTGTTTGTTCTCCAATCATCCTGGCTTTCTTGAATGTACTAGATTCACTTTTGACCCAGGCCTTTGCATGCTGTTTCATATGTCTTGAATGTCCTTCCACAACACTTCCTTTCTCTGTCTTCACCTAGTTAATTCTAACTCATCCTTCAATTTGTTAAGTAAATGAATGAATGAATAAATGAAGAGATTCCTGCTCAGTGGGATAACATTCTTGCTTCTTGGGGTTTTCAGGCTCAGACCACATTGACCACAAATGACATTGTTATCAGCAAGCTCACCCAGATCCTTTCTTACCTGAGGCAGGGTACCCGCAACAAGAAGCTCAAAAAGAAGGATAAAGGTAACTTGGAGGGTTAGGGGGAGAAGCATTTGAGGATGGAACCAAGGTCTCCAGGTCTCCTTCTTCTGTCTTCAGAATATTGGGATGTTCTTGGGGACCAGAGAAAAATGGGAGCAGTGGAGCACTGGCAAAGAGATGGTTACATCCAAGTTCTGTCTGCTTGATGCACCCGGGAAGCAGTGGGCAGCTTTGAGGCATGAGGAGGGAGAGTATGGGTAGCTTTTGTTGTCTTATTTTCTGAACAGAAGATGTTTAAAAGGGCATTGCGAGCTGGAGAGTGTGGTTAGGCTGAGTGGGAATTAGCTCAGGAGTGCTTTCCTCACTCCTCTCTTTACATTACAGGGAAAATGGAAGAGAAGAAACCCCCCGAGGCTGACATGAAGTATGTATCCCAGCCCCTGCCCTCTGATCTGAGGAAGGAAGGGCTTCTGGGTTTCTTATTTTTGGCATTTAGGGGGCCCTCGGTGTAGGATTCTGGCGAAATGGCCAGGGGAAATGGAAGACTGTGTGACTTTGTCAGCTAGGGATCTCTGTTTTCCTAGTATATTTGAAGACATTGGGGATTATGTACCCTCCACAACCAAGACGCCTCGGGACAAGGAGCGGGAGAGATATCGGGAACGGGAGCGTGATCGGGAGAGAGACAGAGACCGAGACAGAGAGCGGGAACGAGAACGAGATCGAGAGCGGGAGCGAGATCGTGAGAGAGAGGAGGAGAAGAAGAGGCACAGCTATTTTGAGAAGCCAAAAGTGGACGACGAGGTGAGATGTAGTCCCGGGTACGAGGTGGTGAAGCTGCCCATCTCTGCCTGCCCAGCCAGGTACAGGACCCCTCTGGTATATAGGTGCCTCCTGGCTCCATAGCAGCAACTGGGGGTCACCTAATCCAGAGAAGGAACCATCCTGAAACTGGGGGCAAGGGGTGGGGTAGGGAGTTGATTCAAACTTGGGAGCGAGATGAATGGGGATCCCTCATGGTGACACTCACTTTAGCTTCTGTTTTCTTTCCAGCCGATGGATGTTGACAAAGGTGAGTTTCATCCAAAGCATCTTGCATTGGCTCTGGCAGTCTTGCTTTCGTCTGGGCTGAGAGTCTGACCCAGAGCACAGAGCTGCTAATGGTGAGAGGGTGAGACTGAGGGACTTTCTAGTTCTGGATTCTCAAAAGATTCCATGTCTTGTCTTATGGAATAGACAGAAGATGAGCCTGGAGCTCCATCTACCTTCCCAGGCAATGGGAGGGCATATTTGCTCTGTTAGATATAATCTTCCAGCTGTGGGGTTCTGAGGATGTGAGGCAGGTTGAGCAGACAATATTCTGGGCACACTACTGATCTCAACCAGAGTAGCTCATTTTTAGTTGGAATTTGATTAAAACTTTATTAGCTAAAGGGTTCTGTTGCTTAAAAAATTCTTAGAAACAGGTTGGAAGTGTGTTGTGGGGAAGGGGTTGTAAGTTCCTCATTTCAAAGTCTGAACAGAGTTATTTTTCCTCCAGGACCCGGATCTGCCAAGGAGTTAATCAAGTCAATCAATGAAAAGTTTGCTGGATCTGCCGGCTGGGAAGGCACTGAATCATATCCTTTATTTCAGAATGTTCTTGGGTTCTAGAGAACTCTTCTTTTTTTAATTCCAACTCCACCTGCCTCCCTGCTTCCCCACAATCTCCTCACCCCCATCTTCCTCTTTCTCTTTTGTGCTGAATTTTGACAAGGATGAAGTCATTACTTTCCCCTTTCTCAGAGGACCCATTTATGTTCACAGCCCTCTCCTTAGAGTTTTCATGTTGGGTCTTCTAGCCCTTGGCCCTTCCTGCTTGAAGTTTTTCTGCTGTTGGTAGAATTATTTGCCTTAACATAGCTTACACTGAAGAAGCCAGAGGACAAGAAGCAGCTGGGAGATTTCTTTGGCATGTCAAACAGCTATGCTGAGTGCTACCCAGCCACGTACGTAAGACTCTGTTAAAGAAGGGAGGCTGGGATGATTGGAGAACAAGTTGGGGGAATGGGGAGTGAGGTGGAAATTTGATTTGCTAGGACCCATGGGGACTTCTTGATATTCTGTTAGGCTCTACGAGGGATGTCTAGGAGGGATGGTTTTTCCTGGGCACGTAGCCTCTTAGTGGATAGGCTTCCAAATGAAGCATAGGGGTCTGGGTCTGCACCATCTGTTTAACTATTGTTTCTCTTTAGGATGGATGACATGGCCGTGGACAGTGACGAGGAGGTGGATTATAGCAAAATGGACCAGGTATGGAGTTGGAAGGATGGGTTGGGGCAGTTATTGTTTAGTATATATCCCCTTCCCTACACCCAAAGAATCTGTTTCATTTCCTGGGCCTCAACTTTCTCCAGCTGCAGCCTTAAGAGCAGCAGCACGGTTGGAGTGGGGGTGGGGGCGGGTGGGGGGGCAGTCTTGGGGAACTTAACTGTTTTAAAGCATCTGTACAAAGTCAAATGAGATAGACCAAAAATATATTTCTTTTTATTTTCTGTAAAGTACCAGGCTTTGATTTCCATCTTAGGCAGTAAACAAGCCTTTAGTGCATATGTAGAAAGAGCAGAAGAAATTTCAGTTTTTAGAAAATAACTTGACTTTTATTCTAGCCAGGATTGCATTTTCCTCTCAGTCTTAAAACAAACAAACAAACAAACAAAAAAGCCCACCAACAAACATTAACATCATTAATGGTCAAGAAATGTTATCCATTTTCCCCTCATTCTCTCTATACTGCATGATTTAATTCCATCTTAGATCCTTGCTTAACCATGGCTCTGCCATTAGTTTTGTGACCTTGCTAACTTAGTGCTTATGCCTGTTTCCTCATTAGGAAAATGGAAAGAAATATAGTTCTCAGTAGTTTTTGAGACAGTTAAATAAGATACATGTTTAGTGTTCAGAATAATACCTGGCACATAGTAAGTACATAGAAAACATTTATTATTGTTGATTAGGGTAGGATTTATGAATGATAAAACCTGGGATTATGGGAGAGACTGAATTTAATCAAGGGCTAAAATTCCATTTCCACTGACATCTCTTCCTCACCTGCCCCCCATTCTATCCTGCAACAGGGTAACAAGAAGGGCCCTTTAGGCCGTTGGGACTTTGATACCCAGGAGGAATACAGCGAGTATATGAACAACAAGGAGGCACTGCCCAAGTAAGTCTTGGTACTAAATACAGCCAGGGAGTGAGGAGAGGGATGGTGATAGGGGTGGACTAGCCCACACCAGGTTAGAGAGTATAATCTGGCTGAAACATTCCCAAATAGGTTCTCTGCTCACAGGGTCCTCTGGGAAGAGCTTGCTACTGCTATGCAACCTCTGATGTCTTCTTCCCTCAACTGCCCTTTTTTCCCCTCAGGGCTGCATTCCAGTATGGCATCAAGATGTCTGAAGGGCGGAAAACAAGGCGGTTCAAGGAGACCAATGACAAAGCAGAGCTTGATCGCCAGTGGAAAAAGATTAGTGCTGTGAGTGGGACTGGTTCTCCCTGGGAAGGCTTCAGCTGGGAGGAGACACTAGGCCACAGATTCAGGAACAGGCAGAGGGTCAGACAGCCATGGAAGTAGGAGAGGTCAGCCTTGGGTCTCAGGTGAGCTTAGATTGGCCGCATAAATATTGACTATAACTGTTGTTTTTGTAGATTATTGAGAAGAGGAAGAAGATGGAAGCCGATGGGTGAGCAGCATTATTCTTCCTCTGTGAGACTGATAGAAATTGTTTAGTGTTTTGCTTATGCTCATTTCTTCTTCCATTGCAGGGTTGAAGTGAAACGACCAAAATACTAATCTTTGGTTCCAGCTCCAAGAATAATCTCCACAAAGATGTGCTCCTCACTGCTTGCTTTCTATAATTCCAGAAAAAATTGCAAGGTTTTGTGTGTGTGTGTGTGTGAATGTATGTAACATTTTATTGTCTAATCTTTTGGTTCCATTAAAATTGATTAACCTGCTGTCTTGTCTTCTCTATGTTGAGGGCCCAGATGCACCAAGAGGGCTACTAATTCCACTGAATGTATAAAAATCAGATGGAGGAAGTCAGGTCAGTCCTGTCCTGAGCTGTGGGTCTAAATTCCTAAGCAGGATGTATATTAGCCAAGGTGCCCAGTGGAGAAGGGAAGAATGACCCTCACTGATACCAAGAAATAGACAGAGGAATGTAAGGGTGACTGGTCTTAAATGTCACTCATTTAAGCCCATCTGGGGACCTAGTCTTAGGGCAGAGATTCCCTGGGAATTAGGGTCAACCCAGTGGCCTGCCAGTCTGACCCCAAGGTTGTGCACACTGGGTTCTAGGTGAAGGCACCTGATGAGAAACACCTGTGGGAACAGAAACCTTTCACAAGTTTATGCCCTGCTGGGAGCTTTAGTAATTCTAAGCACAAATCACTGCTTACCTAGCTGAAGGGATAGACTTGGGGAAGTGCCTTGGGGAATCCCTGTCCCTGGCCAGAAGGGTTTGGTGCCCTTCAACATACTGAAAAGTTTGTCAAGGTACAAAGTGGGCTCCCTGGCCTCTGGAATCTTTGGTAACTGAAATGTCCAGGACGTCAACTGTTGTGCCCACTTTCCTCTTCAGCAACTCCATGCCAGCTCTGAGCACTGGTGGTCCAGTCCTGCTGAGGGTATGCAGCCAAACGGTAGGAACAGGCTGGAAGTTGTTGCTTTGTCTATGAGAACAAAGACGGCTGCACCTTAAGCATGTGCGCAGGCGGCCTGCAGTCTATGACCCCGGGCTGTCAGATTCTTGCGGCGTGGGTCTTTGTTGCTTACTGACTAAACTGGCTGCCGCTTGTCATGGTCTTGGGCTTCACCAAGACACGGATGACTGGCATCCCCATCTTCTATCCCCAGGGCAGACGTCATCCTTACTGATTGCAGGAGGGAGTACCAAACTGTCAGCGTCTATCAGGATAAGCAGAATGGACTTAAACGCAGTTCCTAACTTTACATGAAGAGACCAAGAAGGGGACTGACGGTTGCGCCGTCTGGCCGGTCCTGGAATCCCTCTCCAGGGCAACACAGGGAAGTAGCTGACTGAGGTGCACGGCCTCCTCGGGTCGGTTCCACCCATAAGCTGGGTCTGGCCCCGCCTTTTCCGGGTTACGGAGAACGCCCTGACGCCACATCCGGTCCGGCCCCCCCGGTCCGGCCCCCGACCCGGAAGCGGTGCCCTGGGTCACTCCTCCCACCGGGTGACTGGTTGTTGGGCTCACTGTGCAACTGCTGCGCGGCTAGGAATCCTCCGATGCATGGACGGCACGTGTGAGGGAAGGCCCGCTGAGGATGGGAGCGACGAGGACCCCGACTCCACGGAAGCCCCAGCTCGGAGCCGGGACACTCCGGAAGACATCGTGCTGGAAGCTCCGGCCAGTGGGTTAGCGTTCCACCCGGCCCGCGATCTCCTGGCAGCGGGGGACGTGGACGGGGATGTGTTCGTGTAAGTGCGAGGCAGGGCTCGGGGCGCGGTGACTGTGGTGGGCACGGTGGCTACCCGGTGTGGAAACTCCGTTGTGATGGGGCTAGGATGAAGAGGGAAAGTTACAGGAATACTAATTTTACAAGTAACATTCGGCTCTAACCAAGTGACCACACAAATTTCTTGAAAGAGTTGAAAGAAAGACAGTTGTTGGATGTCGTGACGAAGCCCGGACAAGTAGGCGAACAAATAAGTAGCAAGACAAGCAGATGTTCGGGACAATGTTATTTTCCACCGGATTGTATTATGTTGGTACTGAAATAGGACCAGCGGGGCCCCCTGTTTTCGCCTCTTGCCCACTTTAACTGATCTTTCAAAAACACAAGTCCGACCATCTCACTTTCTTGATTAAAACCCTTCAATAGTTTACCTTTGCTTTTAGGATTAAGTCCAGACTCCTTAATCCAGCTTTCAGGGCCTTGACAATCCGGCTCTTGCTCGCTTTACTTTTTGCTTTCTGTGCTTATTTATCCTTACCTTTTTAATGTATCTTAAAGCTTCAGCTCCTTTGTACGTATTCCTTCCGCCTGGAAAATTCCTTTCCCTTACTTGCACCTACTGTTCCTGAACTCTCAACATCTCTTCACTCTTCCAGCATGCTGCAAACGACTACCTGTTAGATTCTACCTTGGTACCAGATACCTTTTTCTCATAAACTTCTTAATGGTGTGTAGTCATACATCCATTTGCGTAATTATTTGAATGTGATCTCTTCCACCAAAAAAACACTTTTTTTTCAAACATTTTTGGCTTCACCTCACAGTAAAAATACCTTCTATATTACGTGTGATGCACCCTACTATTTTCTGGTTTATTTCATTCTATCGTTATTGCGAGCACACACATAAAATGTTGATTGCAGCTCACAAACGGGTCCAGACTAGAGTTTGAAAAACAATGTTCTGGAGTGTCATCTGTATTCTGTTAAGTTCTCCATTGTATCTCCTGCTTCTAGCCCAGGGTGTGTGCTCAGTACATGTTTGTGAACAAAAGATGTAGGCTGGAAGCAGTGAAAAGCCACTGAAGGCTTTAACCAGGAGAGTTGTGCTATCAGATTTAATGAATTTAAACCCCAAACCTGTCATTAACTGCAAAGGCTTTGGGCAAGTTAACTTCCGTGTTTTCACATTTGAAAATGGAAACAATCATACGTACTTTGCAGAGAGGTTTACCACGACTATTCGTATTTATAGTGCCAGACACTTGGGAGTCACCCCAGGCCTCCACCTTTCTTCACACCCCCATTGTTTCCATTCCTCTCCTCTTTCCTGCCCTCAGCCACTGCCTTCTGGCAGGCCTCTAACTTCTCCCATGATCATTCTAAAGAGGTTCCTTTCCCCCAAAGGATTCAGTTCAGACTTCTGCTTGGCCTGTATGGTTGTCTCAAGCCCAGTCCAGCTGATCTTTCCAGATTCAGTCATACATCTCACTTGAACGCTCCTCATTCCTTATCTCTGCCCTGGCGGGACACTGACATCTGCCTCCAGTATCTGCCCCTTGTTCTCTGCCAGGTGAAATACTCATTCTTCATGATCCAACTCACATCATGTCATCACTTTAGGTAGCTTTCCGAGGCCCTCTTCCCTCCCAAGTGTTCAATCTGTGAATGTTTATTAAGCAGCTTTTTCATGCTGGGCACTGGGACAGGGCAAACAGTAAGTATACCCAGTTCTACCCGCCTGGAACTAACCAGCAAGTATGCACTTATTCATTTGGCCCTTTTTGAAGACCTGCTGAAGCAGGCACTGAGGATAATCTCTGGACAGGTACTTGCCTCAAAGCTGAGTTTATGGGCTGGTACCTCTGCTCCACCTCCATTTTCATCCTACCTCCTCTTCAACATGGGGTCATGATGTGCTGTGATTAATTGTGGCTTTCTCTTGGTCCCAAAGACCTAGAGTGTTAAGATCCCTGTCTTACTAATCTTTACATTTCCTACTTCTAGGGCTGGTCTTCTGTCACTAATTTAGCAAATATTTCTGGACCTTCAGTGATCCGCACCTAATCTTTCCCCAGGCTAGGGCTTTCAAGGATGCTGAAGAGGGGTGAGGTGGGGTCAGGTCATGAAAATGTATGTTGAATGAAAAAAAACCCTAACATTTGAAGCTCACTGAAAATGGGAAAATGGGATGGTAAGCTCCTGGGGCTGGGAGATGTGCAAGCAGGAACTCCTAGTAGAGTGGAAGGTTAGTTGGTTGGTCTTTACACTCCATGCATCCCAGGTGAGGTCTGGGGTCAGTCACTCTTCTTCCATTCTCCCTAGCTTTTCCTACTCCTGCCAAGAGGGAGAAACCAAGGAGCTCTGGTCCTCAGGTCACCACCTCAAGTCCTGCCGAGCCGTTGTCTTCTCTGAAGATGGGCAGAGTGAGTATTAGGGAAGGCAGTGTGATGGTGGGAAGGGGAGCAGTGAGCAGCACTGTAACCTGGACATTTTCTCCCCAGAACTTGTTACTGTCTCCAAGGACAAAGCCATCCACATTCTAGATGTGGAGCAGGGCCGACTGGAAAGACGCATTTCCAAGGCTCATGGGTAAGGGGAAGCCAATTGTGCATTGAGGTGAGGGGAAAGGATTGATTGGTACATCCCTACTGGGACAAAGGTTTTCCAAGAAGTTCTATACCTGTCTCCAGTGCCCCCATCAACAGCCTGCTGCTGGTGGATGAGAATGTTCTGGCCACTGGGGATGACACAGGTGGCATCCGCCTATGGGACCAGCGGAAGGAGGGCCCCTTAATGGATATGCGGCAGCATGAGGAGTATATCGCTGACATGGCTCTGGACCCAGCGAAGAAGCTGCTGCTGACAGCCAGGTACAGCCTCAAAGCAGTGACCCCTCCTTCCCTGCGTTAAATGTCTTCCTCACTGGGAGCCTCCAGCCTGGTCTGCTCCTTTGCTCTCTCTACAGTGGAGATGGCTGCCTTGGTGTCTTCAACATCAAGCGACGCCGGTTCGAGTTGCTCTCAGAGCCACAGTCTGGAGACCTGACCTCTGTCACACTCATGAAAGTATAGCTGGGCAAGGCAGGATGGGGGTGTGCTAGGGACTCGGTCTGAGGTGGCTCCACAAACATGGTTTGCCTTATTTCCCTGCAGTGTGGGAAGAAGGTGGCCTGTGGCTCCAGCGAAGGTACCATCTACCTATTCAACTGGAATGGTTTTGGGGCCACAAGTGACCGCTTTGCCTTGAGAGCTGAGTCCATCGACTGTATGGTTCCGGTGACTGAGAGTCTGCTGTGTACCGGCTCTACTGATGGAATCATCAGGTGAGAGAAGCCAGATGGCCCTCAGGTCACAGCAAGGGCAGACCTAACCAGCCAAGACCCAACACTCTTTTCTTTCTGCCCAGGGCTGTCAATATCCTGCCAAACCGAGTGGTAGGCAGTGTGGGCCAGCATGCCGGGGAGCCTGTGGAGAAGCTGGCCCTCTCCCACTGTGGCCGCTTCCTGGCCAGCAGTGGCCATGACCAGCGTCTCAAGTTTTGGGACATGGCCCAGCTGCGGGCTGTGGTGGTGGATGACTACCGTCGCCGCAAAAAAAAAGGAGGGCCCCTTCGAGCACTGAGCAGCAAGGCCTGGAGCACTGATGACTTCTTTGCAGGACTGAGGGAGGAGGGAGTGGACTCCACAGTTCGGGAGGAAGAGAAGGAGAGTGAGGACGACAGTGACTGAGGGGATGACTGAACCTCAGGATTGGTTCTCAGTGGGCAAGAGTCTTACTTCCTGGGCTGGATTCCCCAGAGAGGCTGGGAATTTAAAATACCCTATTGTGCACGAAAGATGCACAGAGGGTCAGGACTCAGCAACAGATGTGGGGAAGTACTTGCCCTGTAGCAGCTGTTCACTCCACCAGTGTTGAGATAAACCCACAGCTGGGGTAAGACAGCACGGACACAGGTGTACACCAACCAGGGGTTTAATATAAATACAACCAGCATAGAAAAAGTCAAAACTACACATACACCAAAACCAGAATGCCAAGTGGTGGGGGCAAAGGCACATTTCTGACCTTTTGGCTTAGCCAGCCTTCAAATAAAAACATCAACAAAGACAAATCAAGAAAATAAGAAGCAGATTCATGCTAAGCTGTGGGAGAGAGGGAGGGTGGGTGGGTGTGCGTCACACAGAACAACTATGGGGTCAGGTCAGACCATGGGCTGGGAGGGGAAGGCAAGGTCCCTTACCACAACTTAGCCAAACCTGAGCTGTCCCAGGTGCACTGGGGCCCTGCCCCAGCTGGGAGGCTCTGTCAGGCCTAGTGTAGGGTCCATGCTCCTCCCCTTCTTGGGATTAGATGGTGGCTGCCCAGGCCTGCTGGGCCAAGGACTGAAACAGGCCCCGCTTACTTGTTCAGGCTGCCTGTGGAGAAGATGAGGTCACTGCTGAACCATTGTACCTGCCTCAGCCCCAAAAGACCGCAGGAGGCTGGCCCCAGACTCACTCAGTGCCTCCAGCAGCTGTGCAGACACAGCCTCCTTGGCCACTTCATGCCCATCCTGCCCATCCCGGGCAATCACAACCCAGATGAGGCCACTGAAGGGCACTGGATGCCCAGGGATCACCACCTGGTACCAGAAGCGGTGCCAGCCAGCAAAGCCTGTGCCCAAACACTTGGTGAGGAACACTGGGCTACCCAGGTTCATCTGTTGGCACATCAGCTGCAGGGTAGCCTGAGCCCCTTGGAACTCTAGCTTGTCCCCGGCCAGGGCCAACTGACTGCTCTCTGGCTGTAGGCACCGCAGCGAGGGACCAACAAGCTGCTGACGGAGTCGCTGCTTCAGGTCTGGCTTGAGCCACTCCACAGCCACCTGCTCTCCACAGAGGCGTGACTGCCCTGCAGGAAAAAAGGTAGAGACAGGGCAGGTCTAAGCCCTGGGCCCAAGCCCCCAGACCCTGTGAGTCCTCTGGAGTCACAAAGGCCTGTTCAATATCTAACCTCCCCATTTCCTGGCAGTGTGACTTCAGGCAAGTTAAATAACTTCTCCAGGCTTCACTGTGTTTATTTACAAAGTGGGTGTAATAACTGCTATCTTCTGAGTGTCCTTGGAGAACTGGTTGATGCAGGCTTTGTCTACCTCATAACCATCACAATAGCTAACCTTTACCATGAATACTTGCCAAAAAGTAGAGAATGTGTTAAGTGCTGCTGAATTCTCACAACAGTCTGAGAAAGCAGGTTCTATAGTGGATAAAAGGTAGGCATAGTTGGATAGCCTTAGGCGGGTCAATTTTTCTTAACACAGTCCCCTCATATCTAAAGAGCAACATCATTCTGTTCCATTGGAATGTGGAGAATTTAGCCAGGAGATAATGCCTGTGAAGTGCTAGGTATAGGTAAGCACTAGTTGACAGCATCAGTGGAAATTTAAAAGCCTGAGGTCAAACAGTTTATGTCGGAAATGCAGGCGTGCTTGATCCTAAGGTCTCGAGACTTTAACCCGCTGTGCTGACAGGTACAGGTAAAGTGCCCGGCAGAACGGGTTTGGCCCCAACCAGCGGCCCCCCCCGCAGTCTCCACCCCTACCTTCCACTAGAGCCTTTTTGGCCATGGCTGCGGCGCGGTGCGAGCTGAACTTGAGCAGCGCGATTTGCGCGGGCGCCGGCCCAGGGCTGGGCAGCAGCAGCGCCTCCTGCAGGCCAGGGCCCAGCGGCT